GGTTCTTCCCCCCGAGGGGCACCTGGGGGAAAGTGAACCTGAGGGTAGAAATGGAACCTATTTAATGACTGTCTCTGTCTTAAAAACCTACAGATTTAACTCTTTGAATTACATCCATCCATCCCCCATCCAGAGGACATGTCCCTCCTTTCTCCTCCCAAATCCAGCACCTGCCAGGAGTCCACTGATACCCCCCCAGCAGAACAGAAACTCACCTTCACCTCAGCCAGAAGCCTTCAAAACACTTTAAATTATTTCCCCCCCCCCCCAAGAACGTAAATAAGAGGGAAATTTTAACCAGATCATCTACTTTTTATTTCAGAGGAAAGATTTGCATTATTTACTTTTATTTATATACATGTACTTCACATTTGTATTTAAAATGCACAGACCTCCCAAGAATTTTCTCGTTCCGGCTTTAAATTAGCTGTTATTTTACAATACAAAAAATTATACCAAAAAACTGCAATCCTAAATGTGTGTATGTATAACACCCACAACCCCAGCAATGAAATAGTTTACAATACTTGCTCCTATTTACATATGAATGCAATAAATGCTAAATTATACATATTAACAAACTAAGCTCAAGTCTGAACACAGATAAGAATCATAAATAATTACAGAACAAAGAGGGGAAAAAAATCCAGAATACAATTAATTCAAGGATCTTAGTTTAAAGAACATTTATTGTGCACAAATTTCAGAGTAATATAAAACTCTTTTTTTTCTTTTCTTTTTTTTTCTTTTCTTTTTTTTTCTTTTTTTTTAAAGGACTGACATGTGATACACTCTGCGACAATTGTTATTGTTCTCTTTTTTTCTACTGGTGAGGTTTGTGGAATCAATACTGAATGGAGAGGAAATGTCTAAAGAATTCTAGTACCTGGAAGACGCACACAAATAGTCTGTGTGAACAAAGAAACAGACTGAACAAAACCTGCCCTGATGCAGAAAAAATCAGCAGATACACATACTGTAGTAGTCCTGGCATGGAAACTCAGCTTGTTTCAGCAGCTACCAACAGAAAAAGCAGGAATTTGTCTAAAATTGCAAAGAACACACCCAAAAACGAGGAGCACACCCCGAGCCATCCCTTCCCTCCCTTCCCAGCACAGCCCAGCCCAGCCCAGCCCTGTCCCCCTGTCCTGCAGCTCCAGGGGGCTCTGCCAGGGCAGCCGCTCCTCCCTCCCCTGGGTGTTCCCAGATGGAGAAACCCGGGAGGGGCGCAGGGGCTGCCCTGGGCACGCTGAGCCTGCTGGTGCTGTCTCACACACAGTTCAATATCAATGAATCCCAGTCAATAGCAGTAAATCCCAGTTATTATCAATAAATCCCAGTTAATATCAATAAATCCCAGTAATTATCAATAAATCCCAGTTTCCCGTGGGAAGGGGCCGAGGGCTCTGGATGCAGCTGTGCCTGTCCCCAGCTCAGGGTCTCCTGGAGAAGGAAAAGCAGCTGGAACAGCTGGAGCAGCACAGGAGGGGCAGCCCAGCCCATGGCACTGGAGCCCCGGGGTATGGAGAAGGCCCCAGGTTTGGTTCCAGCCCCAGTTCCTCCTTTGAGCTCACGCAGGGCTGAGCAGGCTGAGCCATTTACAGCACCCCACAAAGCCCAGCAGGGCCCGGGCACCCTGGGCACGTTCCTGCACAGAGCTGGAGCTCCCGGGCACCTCCAGGACACAAAGCACCCTCAGGAGGGTGGATCTGCCAGCAGAGGCTGTCCACGGTTCCACACCACTGAATTTGGGACATTACGTGCCACGGCTTGATGTTCATCACAGGCATTTCCCATCATAAATAGCTTTATTCTGGTAATTTCACTACAACGCGTTTTAAGCCCAGGGAAAGTGATAGTAACAACTGAAAAGTTGTGTCTCATAAATATCCTTGTATCCAAAATATTGAGCCAGAGAGTGGCAAGGTCATGCTACACCTGCCCAGAAAAAATTCTGGGCTAAAATCCATGGAAAATGGTGAATTTAAAAAAAAAGGTGTTATTTGGAGATCCACTGGCACCATTGTTTTCTCAAAGAAAAGAGCCCCAACAGTTCTGAAATTTCATTACTGATTTTTTTAAAGGCTCCTCTCAGAGAATGAAAATCTTCTGAGGGTCGAGATGTCAAATGCTGAATTTCAGCCAGTCATAAACACCTGTAATAGTGATTTTGAATGGAAACACTGCCACAATTTTAGTAACAAAGGCCTTAAACTAATGATTTAATCCTCCACGTAGTGACCACTTTAAGGACCTTTATTACTTGTATCCAAATGTTGCTTTTCCCTCTTTCAAATGGAAAAACCATTATTTAACTTGGTTTCTACATTAAAGTGAAATACATTTGAACACACAAAAGTCAAGTTATGCCTCCCTGCTTTGCAAGATATCACGATATAATCTGGTGTTTAAAGCTCTGGAAAGTTATCTACTACTGATCAGATGAAGGAGTTATTAAGACAAAACTCATACATAATTTAAAATAATCAAAAATACATTCAATATTTTTTCTGGTTTATATACACTTTAAATCTCTCCATGTTCTGTACGTTACTGTAGAGTTTATGTACAAGTGCAAAATCTGTGTGCCATTTGTCATTTATTTACAGATTCTCCCATGAAATAAGGTTGTTCTTTCTCCCCCACCCCACCTCCAAATGAAATAAACCCAAAATTCCTTCACTTTTGATACTGGCCTGGTGACAAACTGCCAGCAATTCCTCCTTCCCCAAGCCCTTCCCATGTTCTTCCCTGTTTACCTCTAAGCTGGGATGAAACTGCACCAGAGCTATGTATGAGAATTCTCTTCTCCCTCATCAGGATGGAGATCAGATGCAGGGTAGAGCTACATCCTGAAGGAGCCAGTTCCTTTTAGTCATGTAAGTAACTCTTGTTGCTCTATTTACATTTTTTGGTTCTGATACACCTTGACTTTGATCATTTTTGCTCATTTTTTCAGTATCTGACACCTCATTTTGGGCACACTCCTGGCACACTGGAGGCTTTGCAGACCAGACAGCCCAGATCTCCAGGAGTGAGAAAACGTCCCAAACTCTGTATTTATGTCTTTTTATTAATGTAAAAATCTATCACCCCTCCAGGCCTACGGTTCTGAAAGCTGTTTGTGATCAGGAAAACCCAACAACTTTAAGCACCTGCCCAAGAGCTGTCCTGAAGAGGGAAACTCAAGCACTGGGGCTTTCACCATCCAGGCTGGCAGCTCTCCTCCCAAAAACAGCAAGAAGAAATCTGCAAACATCAGGATGTGCATCGTGGCTGAAAATACACAGTAACAGGGAAGGGATTTCAGTCAGTCTTATTTCTCCAGTTCAGATTAACCCTATCACTGAGCAAGTTAGAAAATATTATCAGGAGATGAATCTGTCTGAGGTAATCTGTGCATCAGGTAAAACTTAAATTGCCTAAATCCCTTCATTCTAAGACAAATCTGAACCCTTTTCTGATCATAATTCCTTCTTCCCACAGAGCACTGAAACGTCTAGTTTAGAAACAGATGCATTTATATATATTTATATATATAATGCATTTTCCCAATATTTTTCTGCAGTCCCATTGCACTTGTTAAATGACACATTAAATCAGAATTATCATCCACCACAGTCCTTAAGCCATCAGGCTGTTCCCATCACCACTGTCTGGACACACACAGCAATTCACCTCTTTATTGCAATGCTGCCAGGCTCCAAAGAGCTTCTTCAAAATACATGGTTAGGAAAAAAACCACCCCACAAATGAATGGCTGACACGTGACTGATCACCAGAACACGCACAAAACAGGAGCAGTTTTTGGGTTTCAGTTTGGAAAGGTGCTGCCTGGCCAGACCCAAGAGCACTTCCCTTCCACGTGTTACTTCTTCATTATTAAATATCAGATGTCCTCCACAGCAGCTCAGTGACCTGGGGAACCCACAATGATGGATGGAGCCATAATCACACACCTCATGTGGCACCTTCACTGACACCTTCCACCACTGCAGCCCCCCGGCCGTGTGGGCCTGTGCCACATTCCAGGGACACATGGACACCACCACACACAGATGGGTGGGCTCAGTCCAACCTTGAGCCTCAAACCACAATCCCAGCTTGGCAGAGCAGTTCAGATGGTTTGATGCACCCCCAAACACCAAACCTTCTCTTTGCTGTTTGCAAGTCTCATCCTTTCACCAACCAGCGACTTCTTCAACCTCTAACAGAGCTCAAGCCACACAAGAAGTACCAGGATCTGATCGTGTAGAACTCAAACCTGTGGCAAAACAAAGCTGCTCTGCTTGATCTTTACTTAGAGTTCTTTTTTTACTTCATCCTCAAGTGCCCTGGCACCCGGAGCGTTGCTTTTTACACCCTGTAAGAAGATGGAGCAAACCATAACCACTGGGGAGCAATGCCTCCAAGCTCAGCTCTCATCCAGAGGATGGCAGGAGGGAAGGGGGAGGAAAGAGGCCAAAATCAGAAAAATGTGATGTCTCTGACCTGGAACACAGACTGCTTCTATGAAAATGCTGGTGAAACCGGGAGTTTTCTTATGGGATACTGAAACTCTACGTGCCTTCCAGGTATTTGCACCTGGGTGAGTATTTGGTTGGTCAGGAAAATGTGATTTTCCTCTGACTGCATGGGACAGAGGACACAGAGTGCCTTGGGTGACTCTAGATGTGAGTATACATACCTTTAAAGGAATTTAATTATGTTAAAAAGCAGCGTGTGTAGCAGTCTCCTCACTCCCTAGATCTGTTCACGCCTAGGCACTTGTGTGTGGTGTACTCCAAGCAGGTTAAGACTATGTAAACACTGAGTCTTTCCAAAGCAAGATCCAACTTTCCAGTTATTTCATGGGGCCTGAGCAACATCAACCTTTAAACCATCCCAGCTTTTGCATTCCTGGACCATGATGACTACAAAAAGGCTGTGCCTGGAAGAGAGTTCCACTGAAATAATGAGGGAACAGTTAAATATTAAATGAAAACAAAGAATGAAGATGCTTTGAAGATTAATAGTAGTGTTTATGTGTTGAGAGCTGACACCTGTAAACACTGGATCTTTTTCTTTTGTACAGTTTGATAAATACAGAACTACAAAGCACTTTCCATGTAGAAACCTGAGTGTCATTCATTGGACTACTGTTGTATTTACACTGACCAGGAGTGGCGGCGTTGGACCTCACCGCACCTGCAACGAAATCATTCTGCTTTAAACTTGAAGAAAACAAAGGAGCAATCTGAAGCCATGTGTCAGTAAAACTTAAGTGGAGCAGTTGTCAAATAAAGCCAACTAGCACGTAGATGAGAGAAAAAACCGGGTTCAAGGAAGTTGTGTTTTTTTCCGGGTGCTTCTAGTCTCTTGGGACACGACTTAGAAATCTTCCTCCTCCTTGGTATTACTTTTCCATTGTGTTTAAAACCCTAGACAGTTTCTGATGTCCATGCATCAAATACAGGTTCCTGGCTGTGCAGGGGGCTGCTGCTTCCGATTTCGGACGGCGCCCGACTTCTCTTTGTAGGCAATTGGCATCTGTTGTGAAATGTCCACCAGAGCACTGGCCACGGCGAGACCTGGCACAGAACACACATCACCACAACAGCCACAGCAACAAACCTGCACAAAGAGCTCAGAAAACCCCTCCAGGCCACAAAGGGTGTAGAATTTTTTTAATAAACTAGAAAAGTGTTGTGGCCCAAGAATTAAGCTCCAGCCAATATTCTGAAAGGAGCTGAAATACTGCATGTTTAATTAGAAGCAACAGCAGGAGAAAAAGACACAATAAGGGTGGGTATTAGTGGATGTAAAGCTCTAAATGTGGAAGCCTCAACCCTTAATATTGAAGGTGTCTTTCTCTGCATCAGTATATGGACTACAATAAACCTGAAAGCAAATGTGCACGGAGGCTTCACTGCCCTTCCCGGGGATACATCACCTCTGCAACCTCCTCATAGCAGATCAGGGAGTCATGGAATGGTTTGGCTTCAAAGGCACCCTAAAGCCCATCCAGTTCCACCCCCTGCCATGGGCAGGGACACCTTCCACTAGCCCAGGGTGCTCCAAGCCCTGTCCAACCTGGCCTGGAAAATTCTAGAGATGGGGCAGCCACAGCTGCTCTGGGCACCCCATGCCAGGGCCTCCCTGCTCTATTCACAGACAAACCACATCTGGGACTTAGCTCAATCCAGCTCAACACCTCAACACCAAACCATCCAATTCAAACCCTGCCTACTCTTTTTCCAAAGCCTTTGCTTCACCAAGCCCACTGGGGAACCCCAGTTAAATCCCACACTGCCCAGGAGATGATGTCCCAGTGCCCTGACACCAGGTTTGGGTCTGAAGGGGTTGAGAACAAGGCTGGATGGGGAAAAGCTCTTTGTCCAGAGCTCCTGAGAGGAGGGCAGAGATGCTCTGAAAGGACTTGTAGTGACAGGACAAGGGGAATGGTTTCGGACTGACAGCGGACAGGGTTAGATGGGATAGTCTTCCCTGTGACGTGGGGGAGGCCCTGGCACAAGCTGCTCTGTGGCTGCTCTGTGGTTTGCAGCAACCTGGGATAGTGGAAGGTGTCCCTGCCCAGGCAGGGGGTGGAACTGGATGATCTTTAACGTCCCTTCAAACTCCAATCTTTCCATGCTTCTGTGACTTGATGTTCCCCTGCAAATGGAGCTGGGAACTAAGTTGGATAGGCCAAGTGACAAGTTACCTTCACAGGTCCCTACTGCAAACATGGCCCTACCACATCCCTCTGTCCCCCACCCAGCTGTTAATTAAAGCATAGTCCAATATCAAATGTTCATCCACCAATTGACCTTAGTAATTAACCCAAAACTCATGTTGGAAGCCAGCAGTGCCCAGACCAGGGAGCCTAAAATACCTCGAGCACATCCCAAGCTGAACTGTGGCTACAGCAGCTGCTGTGGGATCAGGAAAGGTGAACCTGTAAGGCTGGGGAAGGAGTCCAGAGTTAATTCCAAGCCACCAGAGACAACAGCAATGCTCACCTGACTGTCCTGGTGGTGGAATACCCCCAAGCCCTCGAGGCAGCCTCACGAAGACGGAGAGAACGGCTGCTTTGTTCCCAAAGCAGGGCTCCAGCGCGATGGGCTTTGGTACAGTCTGCAGCAGGGGAAGCAGGGAGAAAACAAATGTTAAACAGCGTGTTACACCCTCCCTCCTCCCCCAGCATCACTCCTCCAGCTCCTACAAGCCCCAGGGCATGAACCACCATGAACCACGCTGCTGTGCTGGGCAGATTTCCAGCACACAGCCAGCAAAGCTAAAACCACTGTCAGCAACAATCAAAACACGAGTCATCACCAGAAAACACATTCACTTAATAAAAATCAGGCTATTAAAAAGTCAAGCACTACACAAGGCTTGTATTTCTCCCTAAATTCAATAACAAAGGAGCAGCTTATGTAATCAACAGGACTGAGGGTTTGTTCCATCGACCCCATCAGCAGCCTGTCACTGATATCAGCACGCACCACCATGGCCATTCGACACTCCAAATTCTATTTCCACAATTTAAGTCCATGTACCACCTTAACAGCACTCTATGCATTAACAGAGTAAAGAACATTTTCCCAAGAACAAAAATAAGTGTTCAAGGCCAGGCTGGAGGGAGCTTGAAGCAACCTGGTCTAGTGGAAGGTGTCCTTGTCCATGGCAGGGGGAATTAGACGGGCTTTAAGGGCCCTTTCAGTCTGTGATTCTAATGTATAATAGGTGGTCAGCTTTCTCCCTGGAGGAGCAGAGGATCGGATCCCTTGCTGACCCTCAGTGTCTGTGACCATCTCCCACTGCACTCTTGTGAAGATTTTACCTGAATGATCAACAGCCAGCTTCAGAATGCCATCAGAAAGCCAAAATGCAACAGCCCAGCCCAGAAACTAAAGTGTGTTCTCAGCTGGGCCCCAACTCCACACACAGGTACACAGGATCAGTGCTACTGTGGGCTGCAATAACAGATTAGGATGCAAGTGTTCACCAATGATTACAGGTTCAGGAGAGTTTCTTCTTTTGTTCCACACCAGCTAAAAAAGCTGAGAAACACAATTTTACCCAATACACTGGGTGCTTTCTGTTTTCTTCTTTAGTATGGACAAATTCCACTCTGCTGTTAATGAAATAATTAGTTCTTTTTCCATCAGGCATCAAACTACACCATAGTACTCAAATATTCAACAGAAACTCAATGCAATGCAAGCCATGAAATGCCTGAACAGGAGTCAAACATGCTGTTAAATTACTGCTGCTCAATAAAGAAGACAAAAGGAGACAACAGCAAGCAAAATGAAACTTAAAACTTTCCAAATCTCTCATTTACTGCAATGATTGCAGCAGTGTTTGTTGGTCTGTGCCAGGCAGATAAATACATGCTACACGGGCTGGATGATGGAAGCTGCTGCCTGCCTGGTTTATGACAGCAGGTTTCTTCATCTCCCTACCCCCAGCAAAGGGACCCAACTCAGAGTAAAGCTTTTCCCAGAAGGAAACAAGCACACCGTGATGCTGGATCCCAGAGGCAATGGAGGGAGCTCGGAGAAGGAGCTGCAGGAATAGAGCCCATGGATTTCTGCCTTATGGGAGGAGCAAGAACACAGCACAAAGCTGATTTTCTTCTGGAGAGACTCAAGTATATTACTTATTCCACTGCTAATGAAACACTTCTGCTGAATTCTAGAGCTTGGAGGATGGCACTTGGGTTACAGAGAGCTCTTGTGCTCACCCTCAGCACTGAGCAGAACGGGCAGCAAGGACCACGCAGAGAAGTGATGGAGGGACTGAAGGAGCAACTGAATAATAGACTGTATTTTTTAATACTTTTTAATGTATTTGTTTTCAATGGATTAATGGCCCCAGAGCTGCTGCAGGGCTGGAGCCCCTCTGCTCTGGAGCCAGGCTGGCAGAGCTGGGAATGTTGCCCTGGAGAAGGGAAGGCTCCAGGCAGAGCTCAGAGCCCCTGGCAGGGCCTGCAGGGGCTCCAGGAGAGCTGCAGAAGGGCTGGGGACAAGGCCTGCAGGGACAGGAGCCAGGGAATGGCTCCCACTGGGAAAGGGGAGATTGGGCTGGGATCTTGGCAAGGAATTCCTGGCTGGGAGGGTGGGCAGGCCCTGGCACAGGTGCCCAGGGAAGCTGTGGCTGCCCCTGGATCCCTGGCAGTGCCCAAGGCCAGGCTGGACACTGGGGTTGGAGCCCCCTGGGACAGTGGGAGGTGTCCTGCCATGGCAGACCATGGAAAGATGACCTTTAGAGTCCCTCCCAACCCATGAGGATGCTCAGCAGCACATTCACCATCCTCCAGCCAACCTGCAGAAACAGGAGGCAGGAAAATCCATCTCAGGGGTCACCGAATCCAGCCCTCTACTAACACAGGCAATGGCACATAAAAGCAGAGTTCTCTGCTTTAAGGGTGGTTACACTTTCAGCCTGTGCCATCACCTCTGGGAGACCTTTCCAGATCCCCTGGTCTGGATCTCACCACTCTGCCACCAGAAACTTTCTTTTAACCTCAAATCGTTCACACTTCAATTTATTCATCTGCCTCATGTTCTTCTGTGCCTTAACCCTGTCCCTGGGCTTTACTCTGCAGTACAGCTCAGCCCTCTTTTGGATCTGTCTTCTTTTGGATCAACGGGAAGAGCAACACTCTGAATTCCTTCCCTGAACACAAGCACTGCCTCCTCCAGTTCTCCAAGTGCCCCTCTCTGCTCCTTGTTCTTGACCACCTGAGAGGCATTTCAGGCTCTGACAGTGCCTCTGTTGTGGTACCCAAATCACCCTGAGTCTCCTGCACGCCATAAAATAGAAAGAAACAGTAGCTGTTCATTATATAGCTCTCAGTCGCAGAGCTGAAGGGACTTGGAGAGGAATTTAGCTCATCTCTCAGCCCCAGGCAAGACCCTCTCTCCTCCTCTGCCCTTTCCAACTAATGAACCCTGAGTGTGCAGCAGAAACTCTCATTATGAGTCCCTGTGGGCACAATCTTCCCTTTCCATGGAGTTTTTATTTTGGTCCTCAAGGTCACCCATCTTGCTCCTCTCTACTCTCCTGGTTCCACAGCACAGACAGCTGGGATAGGATGTAGCCCTGGGCCTCCTTCCTTCCATTGTCAACCTGCCCAGAAAACAGTCAGAATCATGGAATGTTTTGGGTTGGAAGGGACCTTAAAGTTCATCTCATACCCTGCAGGGAACAAGGACACATTCCACTGTCCCAGGTGCTCCAGCCCCAGTGTCCAGCCTGGCCTTGGGCACTGCCAGGGATCCAGGGGCAGCCACAGCTGCTCTGCCAGGGCCTGCCCACCCTGCCAGGGAAAAATTCCTAATTCCCAATATCCCATCCATCCCTGCCCTCTGGCAGTGGGAGGCATTCCCTGGCTCCTGTCCCTTCAGGCCCTTGTAAAATCTCTCTCCATCTTTCCTGGTGGGCCCTTCAGGTACTGAAAGGCTACAATTAGGTCAACCCAAACCCTTTTATTTTCCAGGCTGAACAATCCCAAAAACGATGAGGGTTGGTAAAATGTTGTTAATAGTTCCCTGCGTGGGGATCCTTATTTCTCTCAACCATGCACAGCAAGGACAACAATGCACCCAAAATCTGTCAGGCAGTTGCAAACTAATTTGGAAGGAATTAAGCACGACATCACTTTGCTGCAGCTAAGCTCCATCTTAAAACTAAAAGGGGAAAAATGGCCTATTGTCCATCAATCCAGCTTTTCCTGAGACAAGCTGCAGTTAATAACAACAAAACCTCACCTAAAGAATCAAGTACTGCACATTTATTTTTGACAACCCCGGTTCAGGCACCTGTTTTCTGAACTGTGACTCATTGTGCATCTCTGAGTGCTGCTCACGGCCGGGAGACAGAGCAGGGAGGGAATGACTCAGAGCAGTGAGGGATGAGGAATGTGGAATTTGAGCAGGGAGGTCAGGAGTGAAGGACACACTGCACCCTCTGCAAGGCAGAACCAGCGCTGGAGCCAGGGACCAGGTTCAGCACTCAGGGAGGAAAATGTGACATTTCAACCAGCAGTTTCACTGTGACTGGACTGGAGACCTCACCCTGCGCCAGCCCTGCCCTGCCTGTCACCTGATGTGACCTAGGCAGGTGTCACCAGGACACCAAGGGTCTAAGGAGCAGCTGGCTGGCTTCGTTAAGTGCAGTTTTGGTGAGGAGGTCTCAAGAGCTCAGGTCTCCTTTCTTTGCCCACTCAAGTGGTTTCTGAGTGCTCTTATCACAGATTATGGAATCCTCTGAGTTGAATGGGACCCACAGGGATCAGCCAGCCCAGCCCCTGTCCCTGCCCAGACCCCCAAAATCCCACCTGGGCATCCCTGGAGCGCTGCCCAAAAGGCTCCTGGAGCTCTGGCAGCCCTGGGGCTGTGCCCATTCCCTGGGGAGCCTGGGCAGTGCCAGCACCCTCTGGGGATGAACCTTTCCTGACCTCCACCTAAACCTCTCCTGACACAGTTCCATATCCTCTTTTGTTGCAGATCCAAGCCATTCTCCTGCAAGAAGATTTTGAGTGAACATGGAAAGCAGAGATCAGATGTGAGAGATGGCTCTTAAGGGTAAACGTTTAAAAGGTACATAAAATAGGTGCATTTCCAAATTTTGTAACAACCTCTATCAGATGCTTAAAACCTGCCTCTGCCAGCAACTTCCATTCAGAGGTTTTGATAAACTCATTGTTGAATTATAGAAGTGATTCTTTTTTACTGAAGGCTTAATGGCACAATAAAGTAGACATTATTCAAATCTATTCAAATAAGGCGCATCTCTCAGACACTCAGCACCAGAGGACTGCTTTGAGAGGTGCCTGAACAGCAGAGTCCCATCATGGGAGCAGATACAGAGGGGAGAACAAAGCCCTGGAGCTCAAGTGGGTGGGCAAAGCCCACAGTCAATGGCCATGGACAGAGCTGAGCTGGCTGAGCCAGCAGGCCCTGCCCTGAGGCACCTCTTGTCCTCAAAGAAATATGGACAGCTGTGCCTCTAGCACTCTGGAGAGACAAATTCATGGAGCTGATCACAGAACCATGGAATGCTTTGAGTTGGAAGGGACCTTAAAACTCATCTTAAAGCCATGGCAGAGACACCTCCCACTGTCC